TGTTTTTCATTTTGTTCTAATATATATATTTAAATAAAAAGAGAAAAATTTATAGGTCTCACCTCTTTATTTAAATATTGATTGTTTTTATGTAGATAATGATGCTCATTTTAAATTCAGGGTTATCTTTTCAGCAGGCAAATACATTCAGATGGGTACACACACTGTCAAAGCTTGCCTTCAGTTCCTTTTATTAATTAAGATGTAAAGAGTGATGGGTATGGGGTAGAAAACAGAAAGGCAATGAGAGCAGCTAAGCATGAAATACATTCAAATACAAGCAGAACTTCTCCCCAGTTAGTGATCTCTTTCTGGGCTCTGAGGATTTGTATCCCATTAGTAAGTCACTGGCATGGAAATCTTCAGCCTTTGGGGAGACTAGTGCATTAAAAATGGAATTAACTCTAACTGCAAACTGAGTCAGCATAATAGGTGATTAATTCTACTGCTTGAGTATGTGTCATGCTGAGCTGTGCTGTGTGGGCTTCTAAAATGTTAGGAGTGAGTTTATAGAGCATGGCCAGAGTGAAATGATGGCTATCTATCATTCCAACTCTCGTCCTCACCACTGAGATACTGCTATCTCCAGAGGGACACTCAAAATCAGTATTGAAATACATGCAAAAGCATTAGCAAGAACCAATGGGTATGGGCTTTTACTTAGAGAAGTTATATATTTTTGTTTTGTGGGAATAAATTTATATGGAATTTTATAGTCTGTTAAAATCCTAATTTTAAAAAAAACCTAAGTCCTTAATTAACAAACACCGGTGGCACAATAGTTAAGTGGTTGGGTACAAACCCAAAGGTCAATAGTTCAAATACACCAGCAGCTTGTTGGGAGAAAAGATCTGGTAATCTGCTACCATAAAGAGTTTAACCTAAGAAACCCTATGTTGTTGTTAAGTGCTTTCGAGTTGGTTCCGACTCATAGCGACCATGTACAGGGTTTCCGAGAAGTGACTGGTGAACTCAGATCGTCAATTTGTGGTTCAAACCGACTTTGCAGTCCTGTGCTTATCTTATAGGACAGTTCTGTTCTGTCACTTAGCGTCTTTATGACTGAGAATTGAATGACAACAGCAATCTCCTCAATTGATAAAGATAAAAATAATACCGCAAATATTATCCTTCTTAATATTGAAATTGGGGAGCACACTGGCTCCATACGATAAAGCTATGAACTTTGAACTACAAGGTCTGTGTTTTGAGGCCTTCTGCTCCCACAAAGATTTAAAGTCTCAGAAACCCTATACAGGGTCACTGTGGGTCGGAACAGACTCAACCACACATAGCAACAACAATATTGAAATTTAAATCTTTCTGCATATCTCCTTGAACCAAAAGAAATGTTCTAGCTTTACTTTCTTGGTGCTATGAAACACATTTTAAAATTAGCTTCCAAGTAGAAAATGTATTGAAATCGTCTTAAGCTGATAATCTTTCTTCCTTTCCTTTCCTATAGCCTGACTAAGAATATCAGACAGATATTCTATCTCCTTTGATTAGCCTCAGTGGAACAGCTATTACAATTGCCTTTTTCTCATGGCTTATCCTAAGATTTTCTCCCGTGGCTTTGTGGGCCAGATAATTCTAGGCTGGCCTATGCTTTGTAGGATATTTTAGCAGCATCCTTGACCTCTACTGACCAGATATCAGTAGCAAGCCCCTATAATGATAAGGAAAAGTGTCTCCAGGTATTGCCAAATATCCCTAGAAGCAAATTGTCCCCTGTTGAGAATCGTTGGTTACACTGTTGTTGTTGTTAAGTGCCGTGGAGTCGGTTCCAACTCATAGCAACCCTGTACAGGGTTTCCAAGGCTGTAAATCTTTACGGGAGCAGAAAGCCTCATCTTTCTCCCGTGGAACAGCTGGTAGTTTCGAACTCCTGACCTCGCGGTTCACAGCCCGATTTGTAACCACTATGCTACCAGAGCTCCTGTTTACTATAGATAGATATTATTTCACTTGATTCTACCAAAATCTTTCAAAATAGGTTAACTAGTTGTCCTCAAGTAGACTCTGTGTATGAGAGTAGAATTGCTCCATAAGGTTTTCAATGGCTTATTTTTTCAGTAGATTGTCAGATCTATCTTCTAAAGTACCTAGTGCATTGGGCTGAAAAAACAAAACAAAAAACCTGCTTTAGGATTTGCTGTTGTTGTTAGGTACCATTAAGTTGGTTCTAACTATTCCAAGCCTGTGCACAGCAGAACAAAGTACTGCTCAATATTACACCAGTCTCACAGTTGTAAGGACTTTGAAACACCCAGAAAATAGTAACAACAGGAAGCTCTTTCCACCTCTAGTACTGAAGTAGCAAGGGGGAGGCAACAATAAACCAAGTTGGAGGCATGGTTTAGAACCTCCAGAGAAAACTGACGTCAGGAAGAAGCAAGGCTTTACACAAACAAGGAAGTAATACTGTAGCCTGAAGAGCATGAATATCCCTGAATCCTCATTCCTCCTTAGACCCCACCGCCAGCTCGTATTGACAGTAGGTAGAGTCCAACTAAAATCCAACTAGCAAAGGCTCATAGGGATATAGTCCCTATGGGTCAGCCCCTATGGGCTCAGTAAAGAAAGGAAAATAAATCAGTTGAGACTAATAGAGAAGAGGCAGCAAAAACTATTTTAAGACGAGAGACTGAGGCTTAAAGATACAAGTATAACATAGCTCATCTAAAGCCAAACTGTTAATGGGTAAAACAGGCATTTAAACCCACATCTATTTGATTTCATGTGCACAAAAATACCATTATGCCCAATTTGCATGACTGCCTTGATCCTCAGTGAGACTGTGGATAATTCAAGGTTACTGATTTGAGTAGGTAGACTCAAGACCAGAGCCCAGTTTTTATTCTGGTGCTTGCTCTTTTATATAGATAATTAAAAGAAATTCAAGAGTTGTATATTCAGCTTGTTCTCAAATAGGCCGACATAGGAATGAAAGGTAACTACCAACCTTGAATCTTTATTTATTTATTTTTAGAAAAACTTGTGGAATTCTAGGTTACAGGTAGAATGTTTAAATGACATTGTGCCTGTTTTTTCCCCAAGCCATTGGCGCATTTTGTCTTGACCACAGAAACTCAGTCCCAGCTTGTGAGATGTATCAGGAGATGGAGGAGGACAAGGCTGAGGTTCAGGAGACTTGGGGTACAGTCTCAGATATTCCATCACCATCGTAGCTATCATTTCAGTTCCATAAATATTTTTTCCCTTTCACATCTGCCCAGATCTTCACAGATTTACTCTGGTACTTAATGTGGTAACCATCAATCTGTGAATTAATGAAGAGTCAGGTTGAGAAAAGAACTAGAATCTCACTGAATGTTCCCTCGCTAGGAAGTAGTGCAGGTAGGACTCACCCCACATCTTGCTACTGAAATACTGTGTCTTTTCTACTCCACCATATTTTGAAGAGATTAATCAATTGGTATGCTCCCTCTGGATAACCATGTGTTTATTCCATTAATTTTCACCATCAAGTCATGTCTTGATCTGAATCTGGTCCTGGTGTAGTGCTGTAGGATAAGCACTGGACAGCTAACTACAAGGTTGTTGGTTCAAACCCACCAGCTGCCCCATGGAAACCCTACTCAGGGTCGCAATGAGTTGGAACCGACTCAACAGCACTTAACAATATCAGATCTGAGTCTGAGATTCTTTTATTTTGTTCTAATGCCAATATACTTAGGAATTTGCAGTTTCTCATTTTTCTTTTTAAGTTGTAGGTGAATGCATTTATTCCCTGGTGTCACAGTGGTTAAATGACTAGGTTTCTAACCACCAGTGCTCCACAGGAGAAAGATGTGCACGTGCTATGGGACTCTGTCTTGTAGGATTGCAATGAGTTGGCGTCTGTTTTTTTTTTTAAGAAGCAAAATAAGTATTTCTGGAAACATTTTGAGATACAGGGAAAATAGTATAAGTAAATTATTTTTGTGATATGGCATTAAGTCAGTTCCTACTCATAGCAATCCTGAATAGAGTTTCCAATAGTGGTTGGTGGGTTTGAACTGTTGACCTTGCAGTTGACCTTGCAGTGCTTACATTACAGACCCATTTTCTTACTTTAGTCCTGTTAGAAGGCTGATGTTTCAAGCCAGTCTTTAGAAACCCTATACAGAGTTTCTATGGGTCAGACCCGACTCCACGTTACTTAAAAACAATGTGTCATTGCTTAATAAACTGATATATAATTAAAATTATACAGCCAAATAAATGGCAACACTATATCTTTTAGATATGTGTGTGAATGAAATACATTCTTTCCAAATGCTTACTGACTCATTTTTTTATCTGAAAAACTTAAGAAAATAATTACATTTGTATTTTGGAACATGTAACCTACATCAGAACTTCCCATTTAACCATTAGCCATTCATAGTTTCAAATTATAATTTACTGAATATATAGAAAGGTTTGCTCAGCAATGGGTTTGGTGGTCTTACAATGAATATGTTTTCCCATGGTTTCAGGTTAGAAGTTGATGACAAAGAAATATGCCACGAGTCAGAATAGGACATAAATTATGTGCTACAAACAATCAAAACCCGCCACAAAGGTGTCTTCTCACCACCAGAAGTCAGGCCAGAGTCTCCAAAATCACATTAAGTTACAGTTTTTCTGGTTATTGAGTTTCACTCCTGAGAGAATGAAGAGGGCTGACAAGGAGGGATAATAAATCTTACTGTGACCCAACATAATTAATTATTCAGCTTCCCATTAACAATTCTCTTAAATAAAATAAGTAGAAAACCTATATTTTTGTTCACTTTTCATTTTAAATAGCAAAAAAGCTTGCACACTTTTTTATAAAAATAATTGCTTTATTTGTCTGCTTAGTTAATTTAGAGCCAATGCCTATTTATATGCTTGAGGTTTTAATTTTAGGATGAGAAGTGACCAAGAACACGGTGAGCCTCTTTTATACACAGGAGTGATTGGCTCTCTATTTTTTAATTTTTATCTATTCTCTTTGTCTCAATCCCCAGCCTCTGAGCCCAACTTGAAGGTGCGGTCCAGGTTAAAACAGAAAGTTGCAGAGAGGAGAAGCAGCCCCTTACTCAGGCGGAAGGATGGAAATGTTGTCACTTCATTCAAGAAGCGAATGTTTGAGGTGACAGGTAATTGAGGACTGCACAGACTTGCGCTAACAAATGCTGGTAGTAGAAATGAAACACAGTAGTTAGAATAAATTTATGCCTGCTGCACATTAAAAGTTATTTTGAGGAGAAATATTTTTTGAAAGGAAATTATATTGAAAACTCACAAGTTTCAGTGAATGTTATCTATTCGCCAACTGCGTTAAACAGGAAATGAATGGAGAATAGAGCTATGTGTCAATCAAGGCGTAACTGGGGAATGCCCAAACTTGCCTTAATCTTTTTCAGAAACAGGCAGTCCATTTTGGGAATGCCAATGAGGAAAATATAACTTTTAATGAAATTTGATCAGAAATGAGCAGAGGGAGGTCCAAGAAGAACACTTCCCCTATACTCAGACATGAATGTACCAAATACATCTGGGAAAATTAAACTACGTGAAACAGCAAAACCTTGACTTTTCAACAAATTTACAGAACTCATAAATGACTTTATGTGTTTACTAGTGAGCTGGGACTTACGGCAGGAGGGGGATATGTTGCCTTTTATTCAGGGGAAGAATCTGTCATTTTCACTAGTCTCAAATGGAAGAGTTCTTATTTTTTTAGCTGCCTGGTTAGTAGTAGGGTGAACAGGTTAGGAAATTCAACCTGATGTCTTACAAACTCCCCTAGTCCCAGTTGTACTTGGTTTGAAATTAGAGATGACCTAAGGATGCAAGAACTAAAAAGGATTGACAAAATATTAATCCTGATGACTGTTTATTGAATACCTATTTAGCGCTAGGCATTATACCTGGTCATTTCCTTTACTTGCATCAGAAAGGAAAAGTGATCATCTGCAACTATTTTTCTCCATTTTTAAGGAATACTGTGCTTAGATCAAGGTAGTCAATGGACATTCCTTCTCCAAGATCATATCCTAACCTTCACTGGGTTTTTGTTTTCTATTTCCTTTGGCCATGACAGTGTCTAGTGTGAGAGGCAATATGAAAAGGATTGTTGGGCAGAGGTGGATGAAGTGTATTTAGATACAGAGCACTAATGTGATTTAAATGTTTGATAGGTTACTTAGAAAGAAAATATTTTTAGTCTATAATTCATACCTGACAGGTTAATATGCTTGTCAAAAGGAAAGCATTGGTGATTACAATGGGGAAATTTTTTAGTTGAGAAATAATAAATATTAAAGAAATGAACAGTGAATAAAATGATTGTGGAGAATTTGTATTTATTTCATATTATTACATATATTCATATATTCCTTAATTTAGACAAATTTAATTAATCACAATTTTTACAGCAAATCAGTCTCTTTCATTCTTCCTTCCTTCTGTTTTTTTGTTTGTTTGTTTTTTGTCTCTCTCTTTGGTGTGGTTTTGGGGAAAGTTACAGAGCAAATTAGTTTCCATTCAACAATTCATGTACATCTTATTTCCTGACATGATTTGCTATCCCCTCAGTGCCAAGCGCTCTTCCCATTTCTGTCCTGGGTTACCCAAATCTATTCTTCCTGATTTCCTGCTCCTTCCTGCCTTCTGTGCTTTGCTTTTGGTCTTGTGTGTTTGGTTGCTCTGAGGCATGTGACTCTAACAGGTATTATTTGTTCATCTTGCAAATCTGTCTATTATTTGGCTGAAAAGTAATACCCTGGGGTGGGTTCAACTCCAGGTCTGAAGAATGTCTAAAGGCCATAGTCACAGGGCTCCACCAATCTCATATCAGGCCAATAATTCTGATCCTTTTTATGATTTTGAGTTTTGTTCTTCATTTTGCTTCTACTCTGTCTAGGAACTTCTATTGTAATTCTGATCAGAACAGTTGGTAGTAGTAAACACCATCTAATTGTTCTGGTTTCCAGAGAGTGGAGACAGTGGTCCGTGTGGTTCTTTAATCCCATGGACTAATTATTTGCTTGAGTCCTTGATTTTCTTCATTCTTCTTTGTTGAAGACCAAAAGATATAATAGCTGCATGTTAGATGACAACTCTCAAGCTTTAAAAACCCCCAGGGAGTGCTGGTGCATTTGAACTGACAATCGTATGGTTAGCAGTCAAGTGCTTATCCCACAGCACTACACCATGATCACCAAAGTAGGATATAAACATTGTCTTTGGACTATGTTATGTCAGTCAATGTTAATGACCCCCAAGTCTATGGTTCTATGTCCCCAAGCTCCCTGGCTCATTCCCTTAAGTTGTTTGATTATGACTAAGAAGTTTTCATAACATTGTCTCCTGTATTTTCTACTATATACATGGATTTGTTGTTGTTTTGTTGTTAAGTGACATTGAGTTGGTTCTGACCCATAGCGACCCATAGCAACATAGGGTTTCCTACGAGCGGCTGGTGAGCTTGAACTGCCAACTTTACAGTTCAAACCAACTTTGCAATCCAGCACGTTAACCCACAGTGCCATACCAGGACTGCACATACATGGATATCTACAAATAAATATGTAGAAATATCCTCTGTGAAACCTACATACACTCATGGGGTAGCTCTGTTTTCCTTTCCACACCTGTTAAGCTTCTGTAAATACATACATTTTAAGAAATACTATTTCTCCTTTTTCAAGAAATGTTGTGTCTCTTGCTGGGTGTTGCCAGTTTGACTCCAACTAATCGCACCCCCATGTGACTGAATAGAACTTTCCCATAGGTTTTTCTTGACTGTAATCTTTATGGAAATAGGTAGCCTGATCTTTTCTCTTGTATCACTGCTGGGTGGGCTCAAGCCCTCAATGTTTAGAATAGCAGCCAAGTGCTAAACCTTTATACCACCAGGGATCCTTATATGGTATTTAAATAAATCTTACATTTCTCTAACAGAGGTACTTGGTGAGTGAGTCTGTTTATAATGAATTGGAAAGAATAATGAAAATTATCAGTTGTTTAAAGTAAATGACAAATAGATGACTTTTGTTATTTTTGTTGCTGTTTGAATTTGGGAAGAGTATATAGACTCCCTCGTTAAAGAAAGCATGTCTGAGTATAGAAATTCATATTCATACACTATTCATTTTGTGCTTTGTTATGCTTTCGAATCTTACTATTTAAGGGTGTATTTATGTACCCCAATGCCATTTCTGTTCCCTGATTGGTCTGATTTATCCACAATCACCAATTAATGTACCTTTCCTTCCTTCCTAAATTGCAGTTGAATTTACCTCACTGTCCATCTGAATAATGAGTACTTCTAACTTACAAAGATTATGAATTACCAACATTTTATTAGAGTTTCTTTCTATGTGAAATAAGATAATTTTATCTCCTTAATTTTATGAGGTAATAACTCTCTTTTTAATCTTTGAAAATAATGTATAATCCAAGAGAGACCTGTGCATACACTAGGTACACGTTTTTGTTCACTGAGCTGGGACTCAGGGATGCTTTAGTAGATATTTTTAACTGACGTGTTGTAGTTAGTTCATATGTCTCTGGAGAGCTCTAGATGATCAGACACAGAGCTGTCTTCATGAGTATGCCTTCCCCTTAGTTTTCCAACTTCCATGTAATATGGGTGAAGTTCAATACTATTTTTAACAACTGATCAGGGGCCATTGTAGCAGTTAAATAGCCATTGCTGTTCTTCTGTCTCCTCTATGTTGGCCCAATTTCAAACTCATGTCACATCACCCCAACAAAAAGTTGACTTATGAACCATTTGCCATCATCCTGCTTTTCAAATGCAAGTGTTTTCTGCCCTCTTCTGCTGCAGTGAAGATTTTTAAAAATTAAAGTCCTTGGAACATCCATGTGTTTGCAATGCTTTATCCTCTACTCTGTTCTCCATTTCCTATTTCATGAACTATGTTTCTTCAAGCTCAATGTCTTCCAGTCTTACTTTGCTATGAGATTTGCTCAGTGTTTCCAGGAAATTAATGTGAGCTCCTATCAAATTCTATCCACTGTGCTGATGGGGATTCCTCTGTTTCTTCAGGTGTTTCCTTCAATTCTTGATGGTTATCATGGTGATTCCCCCATAAAGAAATACTTTCATCTAAGTATGAAATAAAATGGTATAATAACACAATCTTAAATTGGTAAGGAGTCCTTTTGGCACAGTTGTTAAGACTTAGTTGCTTAACTGAAAGGCTGGTGGTTTGAACCCACCAATTTCTCCTTGAGAGAAACATGCAGCAGTCTGCCTCTATAAAGATTACAGTCTTGGAAAACCTGTGGGGCGGTTCTTGTCTGTCCTGTGGAGTTGCAATGAGGCGGATTCAAAAATTGGTAAGGTAGAATGTTTAAGAAAATGGTTTTGAAAAAAGGCTGCATGTGGATTTGCTACATTGTATTGTGAGAAATCAGTATTTAGTCATACTGGCAAGACAAGACTAAATACTCAACTTCTATAAGGATTTTTTGTTTGAATGTACATTTTCTTTGTTAAAAGAAAAAGTACAAGAAAGAGGTGGGGGTGGGAGGACCCCAGCTTGATAAAAATGTAAACAAGATGCATAGAGAGAAATGCAGTGAACAAGATATGTTCTAGAGTTTTATGATATTGAAAACTTGTTCAAATCCTATAATCAGTGGCAGGTTCTTCAATCTAAGCTACTTTCCATGGAACAGACTTTGAATAGAGAAATACTTTAGTGAAAATGCATAGGAATTATAGGAATTCCAAGGGAGGGCAATAAAACATTGTGTATAAAAATTGGGAGCTCCAGTTCTCTGGCAGAAATATGGCATGTGAACCAGACTTTGAGTTTAAACTTGAGATGGGACTTTCAATGAAGATACTCCAAGTGGAGGAAAAGGAGGATAAAAAACATGAAACGGGAAAGTGTTTGACACTTAATGAGTGTACATGATTTAATTTGACTGAGTCTAGAGTGCAAGAAAGACTATGTTGTTTGTGCCATTTGTTGTTGTTGTTGTGTGCTGTGGAGTCGGTTACGACTCATTGCGACCCTGTACAGGGTTTCCGAGGCTGTAAATCTTTACGGGAGCAGAAACCCTGTTCAAAGCATCATCTTTCTCCCACGGAACAGCTGGTAGTTTCGAACTGCTGATCTTGAGATCCGCAGCCCGATTCGTAACCACTACGCTACCAGAACTCCATTTAGATGATTCCAATTTAGAGTCACCATAGGAGGAATAATGTTGGGTTCTGTTTTGGAGCAAAGTGACAAGGGGAAAGCTGTCTCAGTATGATCATGTCCGAAGTGAGAGGAAAGGTCATTTGTACTAGGCTGGGTAGACAAAATTTAGGAAGAAGCAACCTGAATATTATGATGGGGATATGATAGGGAATTTATTAGAGCTGAACAAGTAATTTTCCAAGGCTTGACAAGATGACTTGTACTTTTGATAATTAAATGTTTGAATAAATGCATAGACCCTTCATATGTTGAAGCATGAGTGAGTTTTATATATGATGATAAAAGACACGAATTAAATAATCTGTTTCATTGTTCTTTATCTTTTGCTAAACAGAGTTTGTTGTTCTTGTCATATTGGTGCTTGGGAGTTTTGCATATTCAATTTAGGCGACTTCTTATCTCCTGAAAATAATACTGAACAGAACTAAAGTCAGAGTCAGTTGATGTGAAAGCCCATCAATGCTATTTAAGATTTTATGTTCAGCTATATTTTCTTCAGACAATCCTGACTAAGCTGAGCTATAATGAGTTATGGCTTTAGTATTTCAAATAAAAACCAGTTTTTAACACATTTTAGCAATTTGCCTAGATACAATAGAAATGTTCCTGGAGCAAATGTATTGAGGGTGTTCTTATGACTTTTATAAATACATTATTTCTAGTATTGTTGTTTTTGTTTGTTTGTTTTTTTACAATCTAACAGAAAGTTAGAGAAGCTTTTTATTCTTTCACTTTGCTTTTCCTTAATTAAAAATTTCTACCACATTCCAACTTTATATAGTCACTTCTCTAGAAACTATTGAATACTGCGTTGTTGTTGCCGGTTTAGTAGTGAAAACGAAGGAGGAAATGTGGTGTAAAAATTCAGAAATGCTCTAGAAATTTGTAGTTCTTTATATTTAATGAAATGATGCTTACAATTTACATAGAGGGTAGAGAAAATAAAGCATTATCTAATACTGTATATTATCAGTAACTCAACTTCAGCTTTGTATGTTTTTCACGCATACATTTTACTTCACAATGTTTTTCAGAATCCTCAGTCAGTAGCAGTTCTCCAGGGTCTGGTCCCAGTTCACCAAACAATGGGCCAACTGGAAATGTTACTGAAAATGAGACCTCGGTGTTACCACCTACTCCTCACACTGAGGTAAGACCTTTACTATTCTGGCTATTTAAAAAATTATATTCTTCATTAGTTATCTAAAGAACAGTGATATTTTTTATTTGAAGATTAAAGGCGTTGATTTTAGACACCTGCATATAACAAACTTCAACAGTTCAACTGCACCAACAGCACAATGGGAGAAAAGACCAAGTGATCTGCTACCATAACAACTTCACCCTGGAAAACCCTATAGGAAAGGCCTACTCTACCAATAAGGAGCTCTGGTAGCGCAGTGGTTGCAAATTGGGCTGCGAACCTTAAAGTCAGCAGTTCGAAACACTACCAGCTGTTCCGCGGGAGAAAGATGAGGCTTTCTGCTCCCGTAAAGATTTACAGCCTCGAAACCCTGTACAGGGTCGCTATGGGTCAGAACCGACTCCACGGCACATAACAGCAACTACAACTCTACCAATAATTATCAATGCATCTTAACTGATTGCTGAGTTCTGTGTCGTCATTGCAATGATCTCAGCTGTGGAGCTGTGGGAGGAATAGGTTAGATCATATCCATACACCTAAAGGAAGACTCCTGGTAGGACTTCTAGTGTGGTCCTGTAGGATAAGCACTGGACTGCAAATGAAAAGGTCAGCACTCAAACCCACCAGCTGCTTTCTCAGAAATCCTGTATGGTGTTGCTATGAATCAGAACTGACTCAATGGCACTTAACAACAAAAAAGAAAAACAGATAATGCCATTATTTTTCAAATTTACCAAGCAACCACTAAAGCTAATGATGATGACATTAGAGAATTCTACCAACTTCTTCAGTTTAAAATTGGTCAAACATGCAATCAAGATTCATTGATAAGTACTGGTGATTGGAAGGTGAGAAAGGTGGAATCAAAAAGGAAAGAAAATACGTCCTTGGTGATAGAAATGATGCTGGAGATCTTGTGATAGTATTTTGCAACACCAATGACTTACTCATCGCAAATACCTTTTTCAACAACATAAAAGGCAACTCTACATATGGATCTCACCAGATGGGATAGACAGGAATCAAATTGATTACTTCTGTGGGAAAAGACAATGGAGAAGCTCAGTATCATCAGCCAAAACAAGACCAGTGGTAGACTGAATCCACCCATCAATTACTCATGTGCAAGTTCAGGCTGAAGCTAATGAAAATTGAAACAAGTCCACGAGAGCCAAAATATAACATTGAGCATATCCTACCTGAATTTAGGGACCATCTCAAAAACAGATTTGATGCATTAGACTCTAATGACCACAGACCAGAGAGTTGTGTTATGACATCAAGAACATCATACAAGAAAAAAGCAAAAGCTCATTTAAAAGATAGGAAAGAAAGAAAATACCAAAATGGTTGTCAGAAGAGACTCTGAAACTTGCCCTTGAGCATAGAGAAGAAGATAATACGACTGAGAGAAATGAGGAAGTAAAGGAGTGAGAAGAAAATTTCAAAGGGAAGCTTGAAAAGACAAAGATAAGTATTATAATGAAATGTGCAAAGATCAGGAGTTAGAAAAAAGGGGAGAACAAATTCAACATTTCTTAAGTTGAAAGAACTGAAGAAAAATTTGGCCTCAAGTTGCAATACTGAAGGATTCTATGGGGAAAATGGAGTCCTGGTGTGGCGCAGTGGGCTAATGCATCAGACTGCAAAGTCATTTGAACTGCAAGGTCGGTGGTTCAAGCTCACCAGCTGCTCCTTGGAAACCCTATACAGGTTCGCTATGGTTGGAATCAACTCTATGGCACTTAACAATAACATGGGCAAAATATTGAATGATACAGGAAGCATCAAAAGAAGATGGAAGGAATACATAGTCTCTGTATCAATAAAAACTGGTTGATGTTCAACCTTTTCAGGAGGTAGCCCATGATGAAAAACCAGTGTTAATGAAGTAAGTTGTAGCATAGTGGTTACAAGTTGGACTGCTAATCATATGGTCAGCAGTTCGAAACTACCAGCTGTTCCACAGGGAAAGATGAGGCTTTCTGCTCTTGTAAAGATTTACATCCATGGAAACCCTATACAGGGTCGCTGTGAGTCGGAACAGACTCCACAGTGCATCACCACCACCACCACTAAAGCCTCTGATTAAATATATCAAATACTAGAAATTGATGGAATACAAATTTAAATGTTTCAAGAAACTGATGCAGCACTGGGTGTATTCACTAGTCTATGCCACGAAATTTGGAAGAACGCTATCTGGCCAACTGATTAGAAGAGTTCCATATTTGTGTCCATCCCAAAGAAATGAATACAAAAATCATAGGGCAAAGTCATTAATATCACACGCAAGTAAAATTTTGCTTCAGATACTCAAAAAACAGTTGCCAGCAGTACATCAACAGGAAGCCGACTGAAATTCAAGCCAAGTTCATAAGAAGACATGGAACTAGGGATATCATTGCTGACATCAGATGGATCTTAACTGAAAGCAGAGAATATGAAATAGAAGTTTACTTGTGCTTTATTGACTATGCAAATGCATTCAGTTGTGTGCATCATAACAAACTATGGATAACATTGTGAAGAATATGCATTCTAGAACACTCAACTGTCCTCATGAGTAATCTGTAGTTGGATCAAGAGGCAGTCATTAAAACAGAACAAGAAGATACTACATGGTTTAAAATCAGAAAAGGTATGTGCCAGGGTTGTATCCTTTCACCATCCTTATTCAGTCTGTATGCTGAGTAAATAATTCAAGAGGTTGGATTTTATGAAGAAGAATGAGAAATCACAATTGGAGGAAGACAATTGTATACCTGTGTTATATAGATGATGTAAGCTTGCTTGTTTTGAGAGAAGACATGAAATACTAGTGAAGATGAAAAAACACAGTCTTTGGTATGGATTAAACTTCAATGTAAAGTAAACAAAAATCCTCACAAGTGGTCCAATAAGTATGCTAACTGGAGAAAAGATTGATGTTTTCAAAAAATTTTGTTTGGCTTGGATCCACAATCAACTCTCATGAGAGCATCCATCAAGAAATCAAATGATATCAAAAAATCATTTCTAATGATAGCAAGAAAAGAAATCAAATACAAAAGACCTCTTTGAAGTGTTAAAGAGCAAAGATGTCACTTTGAGGACGAAGGTACTCCTGACTCAAGCCATGGTATATGCCAACTTGACAGCACTGAACAAATAATAATATACATTCTTGGTTACTATTTTTTGTAAGTTTGTAATGTGTAGAATTGAATAAACATGATCTTGTTCATAAAGTTGTAATGACAATCAGAATTTAAACAATATCAAGATTTAATCTTCAGTTAAGAATGTCTTAGTGATCCTGAATATAACCTGTTAAGAAGTTTTGTAACTCAGTTTTCCTGAGTTATTTTAATGGAGTAAACTGATAAATAAATAAAATTGACTTCCTGCAAACTTCTCGAAATGACAACCTAGAAAAGGTGGTTTATTCATTTGAGCTGAAGAAGAATGAAAAGTATTTGAACGTAGTGGAGGCACAGAGAGCCCCATGGAATATTTACTGAGAACCTACTCACTCTATGCTGGTCATTTTTCCTGGCAACGGGCATATAAAGATGAATAAGAAGCGAACTCTGTCCTTGAATAATAATGTATGCCCCAAAAAACCCCACATGATTTACGTTAACCAGTGATACAAGACTAAGAGTTAGATAAATGTTGACAGTCAACAAGGATTTAGCTATATGGTTTCTACATTAGGCTAAGAAATGACAACAATCTCAAAATAGCCATTCTTTGTAATCAGTTGTTTTCAAATAACCATTGGTACTGCACTCACCATGCTTTGGTCTACACAGGGAGAGCTGATACGATAACTTCTCGTATTTAGCTGCAACATACTTCTTCCTCTTGTCTTTCATAGTCACCAAAATTTGGAAAGAAAAGAGACTGGCATCTGGTTCTTATATTGCATATATAACTTTCCTGCCGTGTGATTATCCAAACTTTAATCGAACACGTCCACTTAAAGGGACCTCACTTCACTGTCTCTTGAGGCATTCAGTTTGATTTTCGACAGCTAGCTTTCCTTGAAGTGAAAAAATGCCTTTTTTACATTTTTTCCCATCTGTCTTTGTAATTTTATACACACACACAAAATTATTTTTAAATTATAACATTATTAGGACAAAATACAAGTGAAGGCAGAATGTGAGAGGGGTAAGGAAATAACTGAAGACACTGAATCTTTTTTTTTTTTTTTTTTGTCTAAGATTCACATTGTTGAGTTTTGTTTTTTAGGGCTTCATAAAACTTGCGATATATAAGACAAAGCCCAGTGCTGACCAGGGAGGGTAATCTACTAGTAACATCTCCAAACACTAAGCTGAGATCCAAAAGGGACATATCCTCGTTACGTGGATGAGTTCCATCCTGCCTGGTTCACCTATGACACCCCCATCAAACAAAACTGGGTGCTCAGTAAGCAAAGAGTAAAATCTCTCCATTAGAAGTTTTAGCCGCAAGGTGGTCCGTTAATGAATGGGTTTATAGTCTAAGTTCACATAACCTCAAGGAGTTAATTTGTTTAAAGTGGTCTCAGTTTTGCCATGCCCCAGAATTCTGGAAAGAGCAAATTTCATATCTTTCTAAATAAACACACTTTCATTCTAGCTTTTAAATTTCCCCTCAAATAATTTGCCAAGGAAACAGAGCAGAATGAGCCCATCTCTAGGATCTCCCTCAACTGATCATTTCTCACCATCCTGCTGCTTCACATTCTCTTTCAGTATTGTTTCTAAAGCATAATGCCAAACTAAACAAACTTCACATACAGATACAAAAAGTGATGTAAATAGAATTATTGGATCTTGGGTTATATTTCTATTTGAGTAGTTATATCTTGATTTTTGTTCAGTTTTATGCATCCCTTTAAACAATTTCCAGGAAAAATGAAAACAAACAACCCAGTTCTCCACTGCCATCTATTTGATTCCAACTCATAGAGACCCTATTGTTGTTAAGGGCCATCAAGTCGGTTCTAATTCATAGTGACCCTGTATAAG